GGTGACATCCCTGCCTCTGTCCCAGCGTGCTCCCAGCACGACCCACTTTTCCTCTTGCTGGTGGCTGCGGGAGTGGGAAAAGGAAGCCTCGCTGTGAGACAGGCCAAGGGGAGCAAAGCTCAAGTGGAACTTGATGAAACTTCCAGGTGGACACGGAGCAACCCCAGGGTTAGTTTCCATTTGAAAGTACTTTCTGTGACAGTAGGAACTCAGGATTTCACAACCCTCCATTGCGCTCTGAAATGTTTTTGATGATCATACAGGCTCATTAGAAGACATAACAAATATTTAAAACCATAAAGGAAGAAAAAAATTACCCCACCACAGAGAGATATATGCTGTTAATATTTTTGTGTATATCCTTGCAGTCATTTATTTCACAAATGTAAAAAGCTTTGCATGATTTTCCAAAGGTTGTCAGATTTTTTATACTTATATATAAATACATGTATGTGTATTAAATACTTATTAAAATTATGTCAAATTATGTATACTGATTCATAACCATTTTTTTCCATTTAGCAATACGTTGTGAACTTTTTTTAAGTGAATACATAAAATCTGTTTTTATTGGCTATGTGATATTTCTATTGTAAGGCTATGTACCATAAGTTATTTAATCCCTTTAGTGATAGGACACTAAAGGAAATTATTTCTATTAAAGAATGCTATGTCTTTATGTCTTTGTCTAATGATTTCATTGGAATAAATTCTTGAAAGTGGACTAAGAGTATGCACATTTTTAATTTTTCGGTTTTTTTAGAATGAGTGCGTTCCCTACATTGGCCAAAGAGGACAGGCACCGGAGGGAGGCTGGCCATGCAAGCTCAGTAGAGCAGGGCTTTAGGACAATGCTGGATTTTCCTGGATAAGTCATTGTCTAAACGTTGATTGGCTCTGAGCTACCTACCTTCAACTGCTGAAAATGACAAAAGACAGGTGAGGTCAGGGCAGGCACTCTGCATTCCTGTCCATCATGCTCTCTCACCTCTGTTGTCAGCAGCTTACTCTAAATTAGCACTGACGGCCAGGGTCTTGCTAGCCAATTTGCCCCAATTTCTTTTTGACTCTTAGACTGACCTTGCAGGGCAGACTGGGCCATGGGGCTGACATTCAGCCCTGACATGCAGAATGCTTTCCATAATGGGTCACTCACCATATCTTCAGGGTCTGGAATTTTCACCCCACTGAAGTACTGATTGGTGCTAAATACCTGCTGGTGCCTAGGGATGAGATCTCCTTTGGACAAGAAGAAAGAGGAAGGTAAAACAAGAAGAAAGAGGAAGAGTTAGCAAGCACTGATTTGTGGTTTCCCTCCCTGGTACTGTGTCTGTCTGTGCTTACACCTCTGAAGTCTGCAGTCTGCTCTCCCAATCAGAGGGAGGGAGAGGCTTTGAGGCAACCTCAACAACCTGTACTGAGACCTGCAGTGCGGCAAGCGCTGTGTTAGGCACAGAACAAGCACGCACAGGAATAGAAGGCTACAAGGTTCTTGCTCCTCAAATCAAACAACTCAGAAGCACACACACACACACACACACACACACACACACACACATCAGATAGCAACCCCCCTTTTTAATAGCAAAAGTGCAATAACTACAAATCAAAATCATGTTAACTGAATCCTGATGGGTTAAGACAAAAGTGTACTGGCCTAATAGAACAGTACCTGACACATAGCAAGCTCTCAGTAATTATCTGAGGAAGGAAAGGGGAGAAGGAAGGGAGGGGAATCATGGAGGATCTAGCTGGAAGGAAGACATTTATAAACTGGAACCACCTTTTCTTGTTTCACCAAGTAGCCAGCACCTGAAAATCCCATTTCTCTGCTCTTTAGAAGTATTTACGATATGAAGCAATGAAACAAAAGGAGCATTTCTGTATTCTGGGGATTATGTAAGGCTCACTCTACCCACATTTCAGCCAAATCAGATAAAACTGTCCTCAGGAAAATTCTAGGGATAGAATTTGAAGAGGAATTTCGCTCAGAGAACACAAGGAGATCCTCAGAGCAGGGCGCGCCTGAGGCACACTCAGATCTACTTCCTAGACCAGCGTGAACAACATAACCCTCCTAACCAGGCCCCCAGAAACGCTGCTTTTGGGCTGGGCTGAAGTTCCTACCACAGGGTATCGAGTTGTCTAATTTTACCAATTTGGTTTGGAACTTTACCTCTCACTCAAACCCCAAAGCTGCTGTCCCACCCCATTTTGGACATAAGCAGCCAAAATACACTCTCTAATGCCTTTCCCAGACCTCAGTGGTCTTCATCATGAGAGCAATGCCTGGATCTTAACAACCTTCTTCCATCAGAGCTGGGGGGGAGGCATGGAGAAGGTGTCCTAAAATCACCAGGAGAAACACAGCAAGGAAGGCTGAGCGCCCCTGGAAGGGCTCCCAGTCTCTTTCATGTCATCAAAAGAAGCCATCAGCAAATATGTACTGCCTACTATGTAGACAGTACACGCTGGTGGACAGATAGACATGAAAGATACGCTCTCACCCTCAGGCAGCTTACAGCATATCAGGGAGTAAAAGGCATGGTGACAGCAGGTGCTACAAGCGTTCAGAAGAGGGGAAGTGGGTTCTCAGGGGAGTAGCAGCTCAACTCCTGACTTCTGAAGAGGACAATCACTACTTATAGGTCTTTTGATGTCTCTCTCCTTCTCTCTCTTCTCCCCTCGCCCCCTCCACCCCACGAGTAGAAAGAAAGGAAGGGGTGGGAAAGCAAGACAAGCAAAATGACATTAGATGAATGACTCTCTTCCTGACACCTAGAAGGTTGAGAATCTTTCTCTGAATAATCCAAACAAGCCTGGCAGGCTGGAGTCAGGACAACCAACGAATGAATGACCACATTGTCATAAATGAAACGAGATACATCAGCATCCTGTAAACTGCTCAGCCCTTATAGAAATGTACGCTGTTACTGTTGCTGTGATCATCATTCAGAGCTTCACTTGATCCAAACTATGCCAAAGAGACAATCATGTCTTTTTGGACAATAGTACACACTCAAAATTATGGATTCTTTTTATTAAAACAAATGTGGGCGCCATTAATGGAGTCATTTAAAGGAGGCGTTGAGAGTGTCCTTCCTTCGTAACTATAAAGGGCATCAGGTGAGCCTAGGAACGTGGCTCTGCCCTGCACTGATGTGGGTAAAACTACCCAGTTGCCCAAAAGGTAGAACAGAGACACCACTTACCCAAGGTTTTCCTGATCAGATAGAGCTGATCCACATCGGATTTTCCTGGCCACAGAGGCACCCCTGACAGCAGCTCAGCAAAGACACAGCCAATTGCCCAGACATCTACTGGGGGGCCGTACTGCATGTCCCCCACCAACAGCTCGGGGGAGCGGTACCACCTGGTAGCCACGTAGTCTGTGTAGTAGTCACTTGGTCCAGCTGGCCAGTGATGGGACATGGGAAACAGAGAGAACAGTGCAAGCATGGAATCAAAACCGGGAGGGGGAAGACCTCAGACATCCAGCTGTGCCCCATCATGTGGCTTTTCTAAATCACTGGGTCCTCAATACGACTTGCACATTAAAATCACTCGGAATATAGAACTTTCAACATGACTGATGCTTGGGCCCCACCCCCGTCCAATTAAACCACGATTCCTGGGCGGGGGAATCAGTATAGTTTTTATAGTTATAATTCCCCATGTGATTCTAACTTGCAGCCAAAGTTGAAAACCACTCTTCTAAAATAGTACTTCTGAAAAGTACGATATAGCTGGGCTATAGCATACATGTTTAAACTACTGTATGTGTCTACCTATTTTCAGTAATCACATAATTGTAATTTATAGTAAGCTAGTATATACTTAGTATATATAAGAACTAGCTTTCGATAGCATTTAGATCTTTTATTATATAAAGAATCTTTCCATCATTTATACTTAAGAGAAACGTCAATACTCACTCAAAAGTCGAGCAAATCCGAAGTCACACAGCTTAATCACGGAATGTTTTGTGATGAGGATATTTTCTGGCTTCACATCTCTATGTATGCACTAGTCACAAAAATTGAACCAAAACAGATTGTTAAAGAGCAACTATACTATGTGGGATCAATAAAACACATGAATAATGAGCAAAAATAACTGAGAAATCGTTTGAACTTCTCACTGGCCTTTTGGATAATAGGATGAAAAATACCAAAATTGGCAAAACGTAAGCATGAAGTAAATCTAGTACCACACCTATCATAGCCTGAATCATCCTAAATTCCTGAAGGTCCCAAAGGGACCGACAAGGGCACCCAGGTAACTTTACATTGTAGTTAAACACTTTTTTAGTATAAGTATGTCTTACGGAGTATTTGGCATGTACTAGTGTGTAATCTGGCAACCCTCCGTGAAAGGGAAACGTTGAAAAGCTTGAACAGGGCTTTGCTGGAGCCACAGGCTGGTGCATAAGCGGGATTCCTAGTTCAGTTGTTTAACAGAACAGAACACCGTCCGCCTGGTAAACAGGACGAGCGCTGGGCCTGCCGAGATAAGCTGGGGAAGAGAAGGGCGGAACCACAAGCCTCCTGCGAGGCCTCCCTTCCAGCTCTGACATGTGTCCTGACAAGATAAACAGGAGTGGGCCGCGCTCACCCTCTGCAGAGAGTCACTAGATGTCAGCTCCGTCCCACACACAAGCGTTCTCAGAGCTGCGTTCACCCCACAGTTTAGGCTCTAATCACCTGTGGTTTCCAAGCCACAGCGGACATGGTTTCACAGGGAGATGTTGGAAGAATGCTTAAGGATCTTCACATGATTTTCTGATTAAATACTTTTCTTGGCAAAGAACAAGTCAACAACTTGGGTAACAATTACATGAAAACAATTGGGTTAAAATGCTTTTCAGGGTTCCCAATAAATAATCCTGCCCTCGGCCAAGCTTGTTCCTCTCCGGAGAGGAATGTTGGCTCCTTCTGCAGGAGAGACCCCCTTCGGCTGCGGCTGCAACCCTGGGGCATTCTTGCCTTTCTAGCGTTTGGAAAGAGGACAGAGGCTCTTCTTGGGCCTGGCCTCGTACTCTCTCCAAACGACCTTCTGGGTGAGAGAGCAGTGTCAATGTTCCCCCAAAGGGTATTCATGACTCTGGAAAACATTTGGGGAGACAATTTCTGAATTATTTTATTACAATCTTATCTGGTTCTCAGCAATTAATGGCCCTGAGATCCCTCCACTCTTCACCACTGGCTCACATGTTACTATAAATGGGCACACCCGTGGATATCATGGTGACAGATGGTCAGCAGGACTTGTAAGCAAGAATGTGCTCCTAGTCTGTTCTGGGAATTCTTTACAAGTTTCTACACCCTCCCCCCACCAGCACATGTGGCCAAACAGTGTGGTCAGCGGCTCTCCAGGGAACTGTGGTATGCATTGGTCCTTAGTGTCTGATTTTCCCCACCAGGGCCTTTATGCAGTCTCTCTTGCTCCCCATCCTGAAACCTACTCTGGGGAAAGCGCTAAGCCTCACTCACAGTAAACAGCAATATAAAGTGTCCATGCTGCCCTAGCTGGTTTGGCTCAATGGATAGAATGTCGACCTGGGGACTAAAGGGTCCCAGGTTCTATTCCAGTCAAGGGCACATGCCTAGGTTGTGGGCTTGATCCCCAGTAGTGGGCGTTCAGGAGGCAGCCTGTCCATGATTTTCTCTCATCATTTATGTTTCTATCTCTTTCTCCCTCTCCCTTCCGCTCTGAAATCAATAAAAATATATTTAAAAAAAATAAATAAAGTGCCCATGCTCCCTTCTATACATGCATTTTGACAAGGGCTGTAGCTTCAGCGAGGTGGAGACTCGGTAGGGAAAAGCGCTCACTACTGTCCTATTTTCTCCATCTGGGAAAGCAGCGTCAGGGAAAGTCATGCAGATCAGGCCCACCAACTAACCTGGCTCCAGCAGCCAGTAGGTCGGCATACTGCAGTCAGGTTGCCCTTGTGGCCAACATGGAGCTGTAACACTGGAATTGGCCTCGTGTGCAGGGAGTGGGCAGTGCTGTACTGGAGGGGCAGCAGGCTTCCAGCATCTGTGAAGTCAGAGCCTGGGCCCACTGCCTCTGCCAGGCCCTGCTGTGGCCGGGAGTGGCACAGGCTTCCACTGGGCTGGCTCGACCCAGCCCTGGCACTCATATCTCAGCAAAGCAGGCACTAGCATGGGGGCATTGTGCATGGGACTCCGCCTCCTGCAACTGCATGGGCAGGAGTCACGAGGGGTTCCTCTCCCTAATTTCAGAGCCTTCTGAGGGTAGCAGACCCATACAGACTCCACGTGGATGGGATGCTACCTTAAACCTGAGTAGCTTCTGATGAGTATAAATCATAAAAATGCATCTCTTATGTGACCCAAACAAGAAGGAATCGCTAGTTTGGCACGTTTAGCCTCCACATACCCTAACCAGGCTTAAGGAGATTTGGATGAAAAATTATATCCACAGAAGCATGACATAAACTTTGAACGAAGGTTCCGCCTCAGCTTAAAGGCAGCCTTCTGATTTTTTTTTTTCAAGGGCGATCACGAGACTTACATTGTGTTTATGGCAAAAATTCACAGCTTGCAATGTCTGCCAAGTTATGCTCTTCACGAGATGCTCTGGTATCCTAGTGAAAATAAAGAAGCAGCACAAACACATTCTTTAGTGTAGCCATGGAATTCAGCTCAAAAAAGAAAAAGAAAAAAGTAAACTAAGATAGGCTTAAATAGTGCAAACTCCTAGGCCGCACAGAAAGTCCTCTAACTCACTGACCCGTCATTCCACAGGCCCAACATGAAGAACATGTGACCAGCACACGGCTGAGCTCCGGGAACAGCAGGCGAACAACAATACCATCTCTCCTCTGCTGCTACAGGGAGGGACCATGAAGACCCACAGGACTTGAAGTCTTTATGACCGCTGACCTCAAACATCTGTGACACCGCTGGAACCTGCCTGGTAACTTGAGCTCCATTTCTATAAGAAGCTTTTTGTTGCTGGAAAGCTAGTTAATTTACAGCGTAAAAATGTTATGCATTTTTGCAAGTGGCCCCAAGCTAGTGGCCTTGCCGCGGAGCTCATCTTCCCTGTGTGCACATGTGCCTTCTCCAGCTCCCGCGGCAGGATGCTTGTTAAGGTAATGGAGACTCTGGTGAGGACAGGGAAGAGGTTTGCATCGCACCCCATGTAACAGAAGTTAGCGGTGATCAATAACTCACCTGGGCCCCTGATTCTTTCCCACACTGCTCCTCCCTGGGAGCTGGCTGCATCCCCCCCTCCCCTTACCTTTCGCCTGTCCTCTTTCACAGCACCTAAACTTGATGCCACTGCTGCCAGCACTCTCTGACTTGAAGCTTATATAACAGGGCAACCAGTAGCTCCAGCAGGTCCCTTGGGCAAGTTAGAAAAAAGCACTTCCCGGGGGAGGATTTTTTTTTTTTTTAATTAGGCAATGAGTGAAATGGACTACAGAAAGTGCACATTTATATTCAGAGACCCCCACCCACCAGCTGAGCCTAGTGTTCTTATGAATTAAACAATGCTGCTGTGTTCCTCCACCAGAACTAAAATGTAAGCCAGGTGTGGGGGTGGGGGGACGAGCAGAGATAAACCAAAGAGCTTACATTCTAATATGCATAGCCCATGGACACGGACAATAAGGTGGTGAAGACCTGGGGTGGGGCGGGGGGAGGTTGGAGGGAGGTGGGTCAAAGGAGGGAAATGGGAGACATCTGTAACATTGTCAACAATAATTTAAAAAAAAAGAAGAAGAAGGAAAAAAAAGTAAGCCAGGGAGGAAACTCGCAAGTAGCTATGTTAAGGTGACCAAAAAAAGTCACTTCCAGCCTCTGAGAGGGGCTGCCAGGTCGCTGTGGTCACAGACCAGATGTTGAGGAAATCCTTTCAAGCAGAGAAGAGGATGCTTCGACGGTGGGACATGTGCAGGAGGCCACTTCCAGGAAGACCAGCCGGGACATTTCTGCACCTGAACTAAGCCCCTGGGCTTCGAGCAGCTTCTCTCCCAATTCTCTTCCTTATCCTAGTGGCATATCCACACAGATGCTAGAAAAAGTCACCCGTCTAAAGAAGGGAGCCTGGAGGACCAACCAGTTAACCCCAAAGAGTCCCGAGAAGGCTCAGGAAGTAACAGCTAAGATCTCTGTGGAGGTGGGCGGGACGGGGTGTGGACAAACCTGTTTGGGAAACAATTAAACCCCTAGCCCCTTCCCCTGTTCCACTCCAATAGGAAATGCTTCTCCCCCAGTAGTAGAGGGCTGCGGTTTGTTTTCTGGGGAGCATAAAATCGAGGGCGTTTGGTCCGCTGTGACGGTGGATTAAAGCAGGGGATTAAATGACTGCCGACATACGAAGTATAGAATGTGGGGACTCCCCAAGCCCTCTTCCTGCACTAGGTCCTGAGAAGGCTGGCAGCCAGGCTTTACTCTTGAGGTAAAATATTGGAAGACTTTTTTGGTGGGAGCTCAGGAGGGAGGATCTGAAGATTGGGGTTCCCCCAGCAAAGGGCCCAGCCAGGTAACCCCACAGGGACGTCCCAAGCTTCTGAGAATTCCCTACTCTAAACCATAGACATACAAGATTCTATTTGCCCAAGAAAGTCTCAAATAAGAGGGTCAGAGACCAAAACAAACAGAAAAAGGGCCACTCAAAAGAAAGAGAAGCGATGGGGAGCGAAGCGAACATTAAAACAACAACATGGATATCCTCAGAGAAGATGGCAACAGGAAAGCTGCTGCATCCGTGAAATAAGAACCGGACATCGTAAACCCCACGCGGACCAGAGAGCTAGATCTCCAAATAATAGAAGGTCCAGGAAAGGAGAAAACAAAGGCTAGGAAATCAAGAACAAAACAATTAAACTCCCGCCCCCCCCCCCCCCCCCCGCCAGACAGAAAGAATCCGCCAAGTGCCTCAGGAATGGACACAAAAAGCAAGGCCCATGATTTTCAAAATTCAGAATGCAGTGAGTAAAGAGAGGATGCTACAAGCTTCAGGAAATAAGAAACAGAACTTCACAAAGAAGCAGAAAATAGAACGACAACAGACTCCTTAACAGCACTAGGAGAGAGAAGGCACTTAAAAATGCCTCCAAAATTGAACATCATGGTAAGCCATTCAGAGAAAGACAAGTACCATATGATTTCACTCATATGTGGAATTTAATGTGCAAACGTAACTGCCAAGCAAAATAGAGACAGAATCATTGCTAGAGAGCAGGCAGACAGCTTGAGACGGGGTTGGGGGTGGATTGGGGGCGAGGTGGTGGTGAGGGGGTGGGAGGTAGGGAGGGGGTGGCAGGATTGAGTAAAAAAAAAAAGAGAGAACTCATGGACATGGATAATAGTGATTTTGGGGGTGGAGGGAGATGGGCGGAGGTAGAAGACTGCATAGAGGGAATAAATGGTGATAGAAAAAATTAAATAAAAAATAAAGAAATGCCTGCCTCCAAATTTTTTTTTAAATATATTTTATTGATTTTTCACAGAGAGGAAGGGAGAGAGATAGAGAGAGTTAGAAACATCGATGAGAGAGAAACATCGATCAGCTGCCTCTTGCACATCCCCCACCGGGGATGTGCCCGCAACCCAGGTACATGCCCTTCACCGGAATCGAACCCGGGACCTCTCAGTCCGCAGGCTGACGCTCTATCCACTGAGCCAAACTGGTTTCGGCCCTGCCTCCAAATTTTTGAAGAAATATTATTTTTCACCAAAAATAAACAAAATAGAAATCAAGTGTGAAAAGAAAATACTTTTCAAACATTCAAGGATAAGGTCTCAGTCTCTCTCTTTTTTAAAATTTATTTTATTGTTGAGAGTATTACAGATGTCCCCCATTTTCTCTCCTCTGCCCCCCTCCACCCATCACTCCCGCCAGGCCCTCACCTGTCTGTCATCTGAGTCCGTGGACTATGCATCTATACTTATAAGTTCTTTGGTTAATCTCTCTTTTAACCTATCGGGAAGCCCCCTGGAGGATGCACTCCGTCAAAAAGGCGTAAACTATCAAAGAAGATGACAGGAAACAGAGAAAGCTGAGACCTGGCCCACGAGGGGGGCGGGGGGGGGCCCCCCCCGCAGGAACTTCTGGGAGGAGGTGAAGGGAAATGACGGATGACAACTGCCTTAAAGCAACCATCCCGATTGGAACAGCGTGACTCAAGAGCCAGGCATGTTGAGGGTTGTCATCACCGTGCCCTCTGCCTTATACCATCTTAAACAAATATGAAAATATTTCACAAACAAACTTAAAAGCTTTGGAAGCGTCTGGGTGTCTGGCCAGACCCTTCAGGCTAAAGCAGACATTCTTAAAGCTGTAGCTTATGCTGGCAGGGTGAAGGAATTCACTCCACATCACAGTGTGTGTTTCCCAACTGGTGGGAAATGGTGCTCATGGCTGAGGTCTGGGGCAGAGTGAGGCAGGGAAGGGCCCCAGTTCTCCCTCAATCTCTACCGTCTCTAAGACACTCCCCCTCCCCCCGGATTCCAGCTCAAAGACAAGCTGTCCCTTTAGAGCAGTGGTTCTCAACCTTCCTAATGCTGCGACCCTTTAATACAGTTCCTCATGTTGTGGTGACCCCCAACCATAAAATTATTTTCATTGCTACTTCATAACTGTAATTTTGCTACTGTTATGAATCATAATGTAAATATCTGATATGCAGGATGTATTTTCATTGTTACAAATTGGACATAATTAAAGCATAGTGATTAATCACAAAAACAATATGTAATTATATATGTGTTTTCCGATGGTCTTAGGCGACCCCTGTGAAAGGGTCGTTCGACCCCCAAAGGGGCCGCGACCCACAGGTTGAGAATCACTGCTTTAGAGGAATCATGTATAAGCTCAACCTCAGCCTGTGAGGGAAGTGGCTTGAGATTTTTCCTCTGGCCTGGTTCTCCTCCCCCATGAGATTAGGCAGTGGGACTTTGAACAAACTATGTCCCCAATTCCTCTTCCTCGTAAACCTGGGCCCCTTGGACTCGCAGCCGGCTGGGCAGGTCTCATGGGATTTGTTCTCCTGAGGATGTCAGCTCCCCACCCCTAGAAATGCGGGTCTAGGCAGGGTAGGAGAAAATTGAGCAAGGACACTCATCAGCCAAGGTGGGAGGGGCCCAGCAAGGTGTGCCTTCATTCCCTGGGTAGCCCGTGGTCTTCCCTGGGGTCTTCAGTCAGTTGCCTCACCGAGAGCGACTTCCTCTGAAGCCCACTGGGCTGTCACCCAGGTCAGCACAGGTGCCCTTCTGGGGAGGGTGGAATGGGACCCACCTCTCATCAGCAGGACCCGGTGGAGGAGGAGTACACCCCTGAGTCCTCCACCGGTGTGACCTCATCACATGCTTCCTGCCTGCTTGGGAATTTTGTTGCTCCCACAGGGACCTAAGGGGGTCCCAACTGTTTTACTCCAAGGGGAGATGAGGATCAGGGGATGGGCGATAGAGATGTCTGTAATCGAGATTTCTGTGTGACTGTGTTATCTCTTTAAAGGATTGGCGATGGATGTGCTTGGCCAAATTAGTAGGTAAACCCAGAAAGAGGAAGGCAGGAGATCCAGGCAGTAGTAGATCCAACTGTAGGGAAATGCAGTGGGATTCCAAGGATGAGAGCAAAGGGAAGTCCCAGGAGGACAGCTGGGTAACAGGCTTCGCACACAAGCCAGGCAGAGGGAGAACGAAATTCTAACAGCAGGGTGTCACCCCCCCGCCCCCCCAAAACAGAAAGAAAAGGAATGAAAAGGAATGAGTGACTCATCTGATGTGATTATCTTGTGGAAAAGTCTGTTGAGAGGCTATTAGAAAGAGTGAGAAAGTTAGCAATAGGGTTAAAGAATATTAAGCAAATTTAAAAAGCAAGGCAAATATTAATTTGCAGGAAAAGTATGGAAGGAGACCCTAGTATGGTAAAATGCTCAGCTATAGTAATATTTACATAAGCATAATAATGGAAACAGTGACTATTGAATTAATAAAATGTAATGTAACTTTTTTGGGAAAATAGAAAAGGGAAACAGAGGGGACAATGGTGTAAGAAAGTGAAATTTTCCTCTATCATGAGATGAGAGAAATGATGAAGAAAGAACATGGACCTCTTCCAGCATTCTCAGTATAACAGCTGTTCCCGCTACTGCTTTTCTAACATTTGTGACATTACAAGACGCCAAACAATCAAAGCTTCATTTCTACACAAGACTACAACAAAGTTAGGGGAGAAAGGGTTGGCCAAGCTCCTGTAGAATCAATATGTTCTTAGGAATTTATCTTATAGAATTATTTATGCAAGTGGTTGGTCAATGCAGAAAACTAGAAACAATCTAAATATTTATCAATGAGGGATTAAATAAAGAAATGGTATGTTTGCACAATGAAATTCTGTATAGCCACTTTATTTTATTTTTTTGCAACTTTAAAATATAGAAGTAAATATGTATAAATAGGGGAACAGCTCCAAAATATACTTCAAAAATCCAGAATAGTATGTAGAGTATAATCTATTCAAATATATATTCATAAAATAATTAAAAATAATTTTTCAGCCCTGGCTGGTGTTCCTAAGTGGTTAGAGCATCGGCCATCCCATCGAAGGGTCAAGGGTCCTATTCCCAATCAAGGTCATGTACCTGGGTTACAGGTTCAATCCCCGGTCCCAGTTAGGGCACATGTGGGAGGCAACCAGTCAATGTGTCTCTCTCACATCGATGTTTCTCTCTCCCTCTCTTGCCCTTCCTCCCTCCCTTTCCCTCTAAAAATCAATGGAAAAAATATCCTTGGGTGAGGATTAACAAAAAAACAACAAAATAACAACAATTTTTCAAACTGATGAAATTTCTTTTTATACATTACCGTGGTGCTAGAACAGTGATGGCGAACCTTTTGAGCTCGGCGTGTCAGCATTTTGAAAAACCCTAACTTAACTCTGGTGCCGTGCCACATATAGAAATTTTTTGATATTTGCAACCATAGTAAAACAAAGACTTAGATTTTTGATATTTATTTTATATATTTTAATGCCATTTAACAAAGAAAAATCAACCAAAAAAATGAGTTTGTGTGTCACCTCCGACACGCGTGTCATAGGTTCGCCATCACTGTGCAGCTAGAAACATTTTTATAACAAACAATATGTCACTTTTCATTTAAAAAGAGAGAGAGATTTTTATGGTTCTACAAAGTTTTTGAATTCTATTGTCAGAAACTGAAAACTTGTACTGACAATCTTTACCCACCACATGTTCTTTGAACAAACTATACTGGAGTCAGAGCAGGAACTGGTGGTAATGGAAAGAATCAGTGAAGTACTGCGTCTGGCTGCACTTAAAGTGGGGCAGAAAAATAGAGAGAGAACACCGAAACTAGTCATTTATGAAACTTTGAGTTATGAGAGACCAATAGTTTATCTATACTAATAAAAGGATAATATGCTACTTAGACCGGACATCTTCCGGACGTCATTCTGGACAAAGCCATGGTGGCAGGGCCGAGGCAGGGGCGGTTAGGGGGATCAGGCTGGCAGGGGAGAGCAGTTAGGGGTATCAGGCTGGCAGGGGAGAGTAGTTAGGGGGATTAGACCGGCAGGCAGGGGAGCGGTTAGGAGCCAGCAGTCCTGGATTTTGAGAGGGATGTCTGACTACTGATTTAGGCCCAATCCTGCAGCAGGGATCGGGCCTAAACTGGCAGTCAGACATCCCCCAAGGGGTCCTGGATTGGAGAGGGTGCAGGCTGGGCTGAAGGACCCCCTCCCCTGTGCACAAATTTCATGCACTTGGCCTCTAGTATAATAATAAGTAGAAAGCATTTTAAGACCTACAGAAGATAAGCAATGGTAAGATGCTTATAAGAGGGCAAATGTAAACAAGAGAACCACAGCACTGGGAATTACAGTAGAAACATATTTGTGTCAGTGTAGCAGATACCTGTCTTGTGGCATAAATTGGCTTGTTAGTATCAACCTGAATCTGAGGCTTCTCCAAAAGCTTTCCAAAGGAGTAGAAGTTACAAACCTGTTAATAAGGAGCTGAATTCATGTCCACTTCAGATTCAAAGTAGAAATAAGTCTTTGAGCCTGATTTGGCAAGAATTATTTTAAATAAGAAAACATTGCCATAGTAATAAATGGAACATGGAGAAAATACTTTTAAAAACACAAATAAAATGAAAAATACCTTTTTCAATCATAACTCAGAGATAATCACTACTAAAATTTATATATTAATTATTTTCTTTTTTTCTACTTATATATAAAATCTATCAAAATGAAATATGTATTTTTATGATAGCATTTTTTTTCACTTTGCAACCACTTATGAACATCTTTTGTCAATGTCTGTTTTATCTAGAAGCATGATTAGTAGTGGCTCCACTGTATTCCACTGTAAAGACATACCATAATTTACTTAACTGACTCTCTATCATTGGACATTTCTGTTGTTTTTCATTATAAACAATACTTTTACAATCTTAACACATACACTCAATTATTTTCTTCTGGTAAATTATTAGAAGTAAAACTGTTCAGTCTAAGATTGTGTCTTTAAGGCTTTTCTTTCTTTCTCTCGCGCTCTCTCTCTTTCTCTCTTTTTTTGGTGTTTTTGTTAATCCTTACCAGAGGATATTTTTTTCCCATTAAATTTTAGAGAGAGTGGGGGAGAGAGAGAGAGAGACAGAGAGAGACATTGATGTGAGAGAGACATCACTGATTGGTTGTCTCCAGTAAGTGCTCTCTCTCTCCTCCTTCCCTCCCTTCCTTTCTCTCCAAAATCAATCAATAAATTTTTTTTTTTTAAAAAGATAGCTATCACAAAGGAGGCCATATTTGAGCTGTATCTGAAGGACAAGCAGGAATTTGCTAGACAAAGGAGAGAAGGTAGGCAACCCCGGCTGAGAAAACAGCACATCCTAAAACAGTGGTTCTAAACCTTCTGGCCCTTTAAATACAGTTCCTCATGTTGTGACCCAACCATAAAATTATTTTCGTTGCTACTTCATAACTGCAATGTTGCTACTGTTATGAATCATAATGTAAATATCTGATATGCAGGATGGTCTAAGGCAACCCCTGTGAAAGGGTCGTTCGACCGCCAAAGGGGTCGCGACCCACAGGTTGAGAACTGCTGTCCTAAAGCCTAGAATGCAAATGATTCCATGGAGTGGGGAACAGGTGGGAACGGGGTGATCCAGTAGAGTGACCATAGTGATCACAGGACATTCTTGCAGTAAGTGTGCAAACCGAAGGAGGCCCCTACCTGGCACCAGGCAGGGCAAACGCCAGCATTAGCACATTCCCCCTGTTGATATTATGTAACAGATCAAATATGAATCCAAGGGAGAACCAAAGTCTTCTGGCTTCTAGGATATGAGACCATCAATGGATAGCATGATAGAGCTGGAAGTTCCCTTAAACTTGACCTGGCACTGAATTCTCATTTTTCCAGGTGGGGATACCTGCAGGCATCTTGCCAAAGGTCATACAGATGATAAAGACCCACTTTTACTGGAATGTGCTTACAAATAACCCACTTCCACAGTAAAACATTTTTTTTAA